AAAATTGCTTTCAATAGGAAATGCGAAGAAATATTACCATATCATTCGGTATTTAGAAGCTGTAATAGAATGTTTAGTTTTAAAAGGTAACCAAGTTAATATATAAATTTGGTAACCAAATGAGCTCACATAAAAAACTGAAGTAGTTAAGAGAAATGGAGGTTTCTAGTTAATAAGATAAAGGTTAGGAAATAACTGTGTTGGAATGAGCTGTGGACTTGAAAAGTGAATAACTGTAGAACCTCATGATTACTGTATGCTAATTGTTACCATTTTCATAATGAGGTATGCGGCACTCCTGAACTTTTACGGTGTGGGAAACAGATAAAGGAAGACTGATGATAATTATCGTCATCCACATGTTAACATGCTTCATTCATACAAGATGAGACAACCACAAAGGAAAAATACCTCAGCAAAATTTACCATGGCAACAGAAGAGAACCTGACAAGAACAGCAAATGCTAATTGGAGGTGTGGTTAGCTCTGCGGTAACATGTCTAACATGACTTTAACAAGTACCGTAACAGATGTCATTACTGAGGTTTCAGACGAATAGCGGACAGTTAAAATGGCCGACGGCCGTTGCTTTACCTATACGTCATGCACTTAATTCCCACCTGTTAATCTTCTCTATATTGTCTCTGTATGTCGTCGTTAATTAACTTAAAGACAGTGGAAGTAATTTGTTCTCATACTATGAATGTATGTGGTATTTCACCTTCTCATTTTTATAAACAAGGTGATAAAAATTAATATATTCTGGAAAGTTGCGCAGTGAAGGCCCCTGAAACGTCTGTAAACTTCTACCAGGGTTCACGGCGAAATATCCCAGAAGACAGTCATTTTCAAACTCGCCGCCTTGAGAACCAGAAATCTCACAAAGTTAATGAAATTAATGCACGTTTCTGAAAATGAGACCATGGGAACAAGGTGATTCGTGGTGCTGCAGCCCATGAAGGTGTTTATTATATCGAAATAACATTTGTGATGGTAATAAGGGCACAGCAGAAGAGGAATTTTTGAATAATTTTTATTAATACGACTTCCCAGGGAATGATTCCTTTAGCTCCACGTTTAAGTCGTCCATGAGACAATGATGGTTTGACGATTGCAAGTTAAATAGAGAAGCACTCAGTGAGGTCTGGTTCAAGATTCTAGCTCCCTTCATCAAATAACGTGCCACCGAACATGAGGTAACTCAGCTGTAATATTCCTGATCAATATTTAGGAGGTACTCCGTTCAAATCTCGATCAGAGAATCGATTGTCTTGACTAAGGTTTTCGCCATTAAGCTCGGTCATTCCAAACGAATACCGAGACAGTGTCTTAAAAAGAATACGGTCATCCTTTGCAGTTGACTCTGCACAATCATACCTCCGTCTCATTCAAGGTTTAATAGCCTTTGCAGGTAATGCAGCCATAAAAAGTCGCCATCTTACTGTCGCAGAGTTTGGCCGCTTCTTGACTCATTCCGGCCTCGGTTGTTTTAATCTTTTCAGTGGTTTCTTCTTCCAGATGGTCTGTACTGCATTACTAATTTGAAAATGCCATGCAAAAGCCTGTTGGATGCTTATACAGAGTGGTTCAAAAGCTACTGTACACGCGCACAGACGCCGATGTGGAGAGTGACTGCGTGTGTCACAAGTTACATGCGTCGTCTATGGCGTGTGTACGTGTGCACATGGGCTTCTGAACCAATTCCCACTTCCATTACTGTGTTAACAGGTTCACAGGGTCTTTTGAATCGCCCTATACTATCCTATCACCAGATTACTCACAGAAAGTCGAGCCACTTACCTATCATGGGGAATTCACCACTACTTTAAAGCCTCAACAACAACAAAAGACAAAATGACATCGAGGCAGATCAGCTGATACAGTCTGTTAAATAATCAATAAAAATATTTCTGTCTGATTAGCTGACAACAGTGAATGCTGGCTTACGAGGCGGGGCAGTAAACACAGAAATGTGCGAGTCTTTCACTGACACGTGGAACAGAGACGTATGCTTACCAAATGTTCTTGGCTAAGAAAGTTCTTTAGAATGCGAGCTAAACTTCTGTCGACCAGGTGTGAAGCAGAAATTCTAAAGAAGTAGTGACTATAGAAAGTTAGCAGTTGTCATAAAAACTTCAATGTACTAAGCACGAATTAGGCGTGTTAATAACGCCTTCAGGACTCTACCGCACAAAATGGCTGTAGTATTTCTTATCGCACAGGATTTTCCACGTATTTAACAAAATGTAACCAATTTCATGAAATAAATTTCTTCTTAAGAAGCTAGTTAAGAAATTTCCCCATCCATGTAAGAAAGCCGAAGGTTCATTAGCGTGTTTACTAGTCTCTACAAGGATCCATACCACACTTTCACACCTTGTTTATTCAAGATAAATTTGAATACTATATTTTATATACGCCTGGGTCTGCCTTCAGGTTTTACATTAAAATTTTGTGTGCATTTCTCATTTCTCCCATGCTAACAAGTTAATATAATTTTAACTAACTAATTCGACCCATGGAGCAGTATCCTTCTTCAGAAGCTAATAGTACGTTCAGTTAGTCAACAAAGTGCCCTCTTTTATTAATCCAGAAGGTTTGTTCCGTGTTCACAAAAGCCCTGCTCTGAGCCACGTGAATCCAATCCACACCCCCACAGCATATTCCCAAAGGTCCATTTAGACATTATCCTCCCACTCCCATGTTTGATCACCCACTCCAATACTTGGTTAAGATTACAAATTATGGATCACTTCATAATGCAGTTTTCTCCAGCCTTGTGGTGCTTCAGACCTCTTAGGTCCAAATATTCTCTTAAGTGTCTTGTCCTTAAATGCCTCCATTTTATGTCCACACTTTGACGTCGCATACCAGATTTCACACCCATACAAAACAACAAGTAAAACTGTATTTTTGTGTTCTTCAATATTTACGTTTTAGATAGCAGACGGGAAGACAGCAGGTTCTGAACCGCATGGCAGCAAATTATTTCCTTTAAAATAGGCTATCTTGGCTCTCTAAAATGTAGTGTTTGAGTTGTCTGTTAGCATCGTAACATTAGATCAGTCTGCAGTAATTGGACATCAAGGCGGATGAAGTCGGTAATGACGGAATACTTTACTTGGGAAATAATATTTACTCAGAGCTTTTGTTTTCGTTCCTGTGGCTA